TTGGATTAATAAATTCGAACTCAATTTCTTAAATATTCGGTTATTAAAAAGTAACATACAAACCTCATTAAAATTTGTAACAACGAATAGTTTAAATATATATTATGATCACACAATAAACGATACGTTCAGTATCATGTACGACTTTATGGAAACGTGCTGCTGTGAAATTGTTTTATTGATATAACATTTATGTCAATTTTTCTACCGCTTACTTTATAAATGTTTTGATAATTCTCTGCTAGACAATCTGTATTATCACTTCTGATTTATTTTGGAAATTATTCACGAGAGGACGTTAAAATAGTTTAATCATATTATATACTTGCCACAACATATATCCAAACTACATTTTATACATGCTTTAGAGTTTAGAATATATTTACGGTGAAATTATAACATTTGATCGACTCAGATGAAACACAAAATCACTTCGAAATATTTTACATCTGAATTGTGGAAATATCAAACAATGTGCGCTATATTTGGTATTATAAATGGCCAGTTCAAAATGTGTTGCTACTATTCTCCCATGATGAGATCGAATATATAAGGTTTCTTCTTTTCTCCCAATATGTCGCTATGCTGGCTTTATTGGAGGCTTTTGGGAAATCGTCCATTCAAAACTGTAATTTTTCGAAATTTTCAAAAGAATTCATGAGGTGGTGTATAATGTTTTTTCCTATTTTATTTACTTCGAATGAATTTATGAAATCGAACCATAAGGTTTCTCCTTTTCCCCCAATATGTCGTTATGCTGGCTTCATTGGCGGTTTTCGAGATATCGTCCATCCAAAACTGTAATTTTTCGAAATTTCCAAAATAATCCACGAGGGAGCATAAAATGTTTTTACCAATTTTATTCTCTTCGATACCCGTTTTAAATGTATTAAGCGTTCAATACCGTGTATTAGAAACTAAAAAAGATAATTTTTCAATTATTTAGTGAAAATACAAAACCAATTTTACCTATGAATTATATATATCATTCCTGAAATTACCGAAAAATACGCTATGTTTGGTATTATATATGGCCAGTCCAAAACGTGCTGCTACTATTCTGTCATGATGAATTCGAACCCATGAGGTTTCTTCTTTTTTCCCAATATGTCGTTATGCCGGCTTTATTGGAGATTTTCGAGAAATACCTGCCCCAAATCGAGTCATCGTTGAAATTCAGTCAATTTCAAACAACCCTTTGATAGAGCTTGGAATTTGAAATTGTTTTAGCGTGTTATTATATATTAAATGAATAGTATGATGACTAATTGTTTCACTTTAATTGCTATCGGTAAATCACTCAAAATATACACTTCCTAGCACAAAATGATTGGGAACATTTGTTTTTACGTGTGGGAATTTTTCTGCGATTCTGTCAGCTCCAATTTCTTGATTTTCTGCTAACTTCACAGAAGTCCATTGCTCAGCTCAGTCTCTTGACTTTGTAGAAGCGGTTATTCAATTATACTACTGAACTTATACTAGTACAGTGTTGGGACATCGATGCGATCGGGTACAGGTACTGCCGTTTGCTTCTTACTTAACCTTGGCTATGCGTCACTCAGTCACTAGGCTACAGCACCAACGATAGGCCTGTAGTACCGGTAGCCGTAGGTACCTATACCGTACCGTATGTTTTTACCAATTTTATTCTCTTCGATACCCGTTTTAAATGTATTAAGCGTTCAATACCGTGTATTAGAAACTAAAAAAGATAATTTTTCAATTATTTAGTGAAAATACAAAACCAATTTTACCTATGATTTATATATATCATTCCTGAAATTACCGAAAAATACGCTATGTTTGGTATTATATATGGCCAGTCCAAAACGTGCTGCTACTATTCTGTCATGATGAATTCGAACCCATGAGGTTTCTTCTTTTTTCCCAATATGTCGTTATGCCGGCTTTATTGGAGATTTTCGAGAAATACCTGCCCCAAATCGAGTCATCATTGAAATTCAGTCAATTTCAAACAACCCTTTGATAGAGCTTGGAATTTGAAATTGTTTTAGCGTGTTATTATATATTAAATGAATAGTATGATGACTAATTGTTTCACTTTAATTGCTATCGGTAAATCACTCAAAATATACACTTCCTAGCACAAAATGATTGGGAACATTTGTTTTTACGTGTGGGAATTTTTCTGCGATTCTGTCAGCTCCAATTTCTTGATTTTCTGCTAACTTCACAGAAGTCCATTGCTCAGCTCAGTCTCTTGACTTTGTAGAAGCGGTTATTCAATTATACTACCGAACTTATACTAGTACAGTGTTGGGACATCGATGCGATCGGGTACAGGTACTGCCGTTTGCTTCTTACTTAACCTTGGCTATGCGTCACTCAGTCACTAGGCTACAGCACCAACGATAGGCCTGTAGTACCGGTAGCCGTAGGTACCTATACCGTACTTTCACCTTAAATCCACAGTTAAAATTCTTGAATTCTATACAAAAGGTACGGTATCGGTATCTACAGACCTACGTAAAGCGGAACACAATGGTACGGTGGACTACCGTACTTGTCCAGTCCAGACAGTAGGCGTACCCGGTACCGTAACTTTCGAACTTGACGGTAAACTGCTGTCAGTTCTGCAGTTACCATAAACCTTGTTCAGTTTTTTGATGCTAGATTGCTGCGGCATTATGCCAAACGCAATCTGTCAGAATCCAGAAACAGAGAAAGCTCCATTTTTAGATTCTTTGTTTCGTATGCACTTTTTACCTGTTGTACAGTACAGTGAAAACTCCACCTACGAAATTAGTAATTCGTTCCGGAAGCGTCTACGTAAGTGGAAAATTTCGTAAGTGGGGACGCATTTTACCTGTAAATGCTCTAATCCGTTCCAAGCTGCCACAAAACATGGAAATAATATTTGTATAAATTATAATAATGACTAAAACCTCCATCAAGTACATGTCCGAATTAGATTACTGCATATAAGTGTAATAGATAGAAAAGGTACACTTAGGAAGAAGGAAGATCAGAGGAAAACGAATAATAACTACAAACGGTATGTTTTTTTTACCTTGGCGTTGGACGACTAGGCTAAGCGAAGGCCGTCTGTAGTGGAGGACGGCAGTAGGAACTCGGAGGAGGTGAGAGAAGGCCTTAAAAGTTGACAGCTGGGAGAGAGCGTGATGTGCGAAAATGAGCAAGCGCACATAAAATTAAAATTTATTCTTTTTTTTCGCTCTTCCGTTTTTTATTTGCTTTTCTAGTTTTATTTTCTTCAACATTTCATTTTCTATTGTTTTAATTGTTACGTGTATAATCGTCTTTCGTGAGCATCTGAAACTGTGCGAGGACACATTGTACGTATCCGCGGGAAAGAAAGGTGGCAATGGGATGGCAACTAGTTGTTGGGCGACCTGCAGGGCAGCTACCACGGCCTAATTTCTATTGTGGTCACCAAACCATTCGTTGATTCAGTAAAACCCAAATGTTATTACTCGATCAATGTCATAAATAAATGAGTGAACCCGATTCCCATCTGCTAATAATGGAGAATTAAAATTAAGACTGTTCGAGTTGACGCTATTTGAAATATTTCATGTCGGCTGTTATGATTTTATTTTTAATATTAAATTAATACCATCAAACTGAACAATATTGTCATCAACGACGCCGGGATAACAATAAAATTCGCGATTGATACTAATTAATATTAATGAGCTACTTTATACGCTCTAAATTGCAAGAAATGAAAAAATTTCCCGTTATGTTGGGTCACTATCGAAGGGTCACTGAGGATGGAAACAATTATTTACACAATTTGCTTTTGGATTTACTGCCGAGGCCGCACAAAAGGTCTCGACTAAATTAAAATATACGATAATAATTGTGAAATGTTTCCAATCAAAAACATCCTCGAAGTGTTATGTGCACTTCAAGTCGGCGCTAATTGAAACCCTTTCATGTCAGGTTTAATTTATTGTTGTGTCACACAAGTCTGCATTTGATTACGATAAAAAATGACAATATTTTTTCGATAAGAATTTTCGTAAGTTGGATTTTTCGTATCCAGAGCCTTTTGTAGGTAGAGTTTCCACTGTACATTGTACAGGCTAGTCAGGTCTTGCGAAGTAGCCTAAATGCCCAAATAACGCCGAACACAAATGTGGGGTGAAAATGAATGCTGTGAGTGCTTAAATAACGCCAAACAAAAATGTGATGTGAAAATACAACCCAAGATTTTATTTTTTTCAATGAAACAACACGAATGCAATACTCTAAATGGCATGCAGGAATGAGGTGTAGCCTACCTGCTTAGTTACAACGTTTACTTCACTAGACCCCAGTCGTCTATCATTAATCCTGTACCGTGGTCTTTTGCCTGATTTGGAATTTTTAAAATGAAAGTACGCACATTGTATTGCAGTACACATATCGAAATAATATCAGTAGTTTTAAGTGGATGAGGACAGAGAATAGCCTTTCGGTCAGCCTTTGGTGTAAGGTCTCCCCTTAAAGTCTTAGAAATATTTCTTTTCATCCTTCTTACAGTTAAATATGTAAATCCTATGTCTTTGATGACGTTTTCACTCTTTACAGTGGGTCTAGTGTAGTTTCGTACCTAAAGTACTTCTAGTGGGCTTAGCAAGAGGATTTTTGCACATGACAATCCCAACCCCCACTTGACTACGCCATCCAAAAATTATGTCACTACGATGTCATAAAGACGTCATATATCTTGTCAAAGTGTACCTATGACCGCCCAAAATGGCATCTGCGCCGACGATAAAGGACTCAGTAACGGCAGCGATCTCTCTCGTATCGGGATCGTTGCGACAAGAAAACGAGAGAAATAACTTGTTCCATTTAGGGTGATCGTCTGCGCGCTTTGGATGACATTGTCGTTGCATATAGTTTGAAGATCCCTATTACATCATTGTGATGTCGTAGTGACGTAATTTTTGGATGACGCAGTCAGGTGGGGTTCAGGATTAACATATGCAAAAATTGTTATGCTAAGCCCACTAGAAGTACTATAGGTACGAAACTACACCAGAACCCTTACAGCTGTACCGTACATACTTATGATAGTCTATTTTGATTTACTTTTTATTAGCCTGAATTCAGAACCCATCATACAGCCTTTTTTCTGAGTCTGTAAGACTGGTGTCATATTTTCGCCCATGCTCACCCACAATATGGTCCATATCTTTATCAATAATTACTAACCGACTCTTTTTATCTAATGTTTGTCAGTACTTTCGCAAAATTTTTTTGGATTTTTTTTCATCGTATCATGTCTGAGAGAGAAGAGCTAGTTTTTGGTGCAAAGTTGGCGGAGAAAGCCGAACGATATGATGAAATGGTGGAGTACATGGACAAGGTGTCCAAATTGGGAGAAGAGTTGAGTGTAGAAGAGCGCAACTTGCTCTCAGTTGCATACAAAAATGTAATAGGTGCAAGGCGTGCTTCGTGGAGAATACTGAGTAGCATAGAAGCCAGGGACGATGATAAGAAGAATGAAGTATTACTGAAAGCATACAAGGGTCAAGTCGAAGACGAGCTGAAACAACTTTGTACAAATATAATCACTCTTCTTGTTGAGCATCTCATCAGCAAAGTTGATGCAGAAAATGCAGAAGCAAAAGTATTTTACTACAAAATGAAAGGTGATTATAATCGTTACCTCGCTGAATTCCAGGTTGGCAAAGACCGGAAAGATGCTGCGGAAGCAGGTTTAATTGCTTATAAGGAAGCAAACGAAGCTGGTAGCTGCCTTTCGGCAACTCATCCAGTCAAATTAGGACTTGCTCTCAACTTCTCTGTGTTTTACTACGAAATCCTCAATTCTCCTGAGAGGGCTTGCACGTTAGCTAAAACTGCGTTCGATGAGGCTATTAAAGAATTAGATACATTGAGTGAGGAGTCATATAAGGATTCAACTCTAATATTGCAGTTGCTTCGTGATAACCTAACATTGTGGACATCAGAGACGCAGGAAGACAATGATGAGTGAAATGCTATGATATCCACTGTATGAAGTGGGACCATGTATCATTTACAAAAACTCCTCACCCTAAATGATGCAAGATATTGTGAATTGATTGCTGTTTTGAGATAATAATATTTGTATTAGGTTATGTTATTGTACTCATTATTGAAGATGTGAACTATTACTATAGAAAAACTTGTGTACTCTATTTCTGTAAATATAGCAGGATTTTCAACGTTTTATGGTGTGAAGTATTTATTTGAGAATAATAATACAAGAATAATAACTTGAGAAAAAGCTTTCATAATAAAAGTTGATATTTGAATTTTAAATTTCTCATGAATCTCGATAGTCCACAAATTATATTACAAATAGCACTATTTTCATTTCCTGTGGTTATTGATTTATCAAACACAAAAATTAGGTAATTGATAATTATTTTATACATGTCATCGAGAACATTTATTATTAGAAAAATATGACTTGGGTAGTTTTGTCATTGATATCACTCTCGCAAAGTGTAGATTGAAGCTAATAATCACAAACTCAGTGTTTTGTTGGGAATGTTTCATTGCAAAATATATATTGTGTTCAATTATGTTTAGACTAGCGTTCGTGTGGTGCATTAATTCTAATTGTCTATTAAAAGAGTTTCATATTGTGATATCTTGCGGTTGTAAATTTCAAATAATATAATTTTTATTTAAATTTTGAATGAAAATATTTTAAATTGAACAGTAACGAAGCTGATTCTGTGAATATTCACAAACAGACTTTTTAAATTTCTTAGTTGGTTAATTCATTCTACAGTATAAAACTAAAACTATACTCTCGACAAAAACAGTAGTCCCGAAACTAAATACCTTTATCTTATTAATTAGATATTAGCCCCTTGGATTTTCACAGCATGACAACCAGCTTTGGCTCTTTGCGGCTTCCCTTCCCCGGTAAAATTGTGTGATCTTTTTTCTTCGTATTCTGTGTAAAATTTTTTTAACCGGCTTTGAAACCCCTGTTTTCTACCATACAAAATGTACTATTTTATAGAAATTGTGCATTTAATTTGGATACATTGTCGAATAAGAATACTTTCTTAACATTCTTTTACATTTGATTTGTCAAAAACTGACCATCACAAAACTGTGTAGCGCTTGTTTGGAATCTACATATCACTCTATATTAGAAGGTTATTTTCTTGAAATTTGCAGCTTTAATACGGGTTTAAATTATAATATTCAATTTCTTTCAATTGTTTTTGATTTTCCAATTTTGATTTAAGAATTCAAAGTGTTTGGTGCCACCACATGCTGATTGGGAATTTCAGACTGTTTCAAATATTTTGCATTATTCCTGAAAAAAATATTTATATTTACACTTTTCATCTTGCTGTTTCACATTAATGAACATTTATAGTATTTTGTGTGTAATCTGTTGGAATTTTTCTCTGTGGCAGTGGGAATAGGATCAGGGATATTTGTGACATAGATTTTTATAAAATTGTTTTATAATAGATTTCTGTGAGTCAATATTGTTGACAGGATTGAAAGTGCTTCAAGACTAAGTTCTGTACCCCAGCGATTCCAAGCCTGATAAAACCTTGGTATCCTAAAATCTACTCGCATTTTATTTTGTAATTCTGTTCAAGGTAACTGTGCTCGAGCATATCTGTATTTAAATGTCCCTCACAAAGTAAAAAGTCTTTCAACGCCATCAATGTATAGGTATATAGCCTGTATACGCGGTAATATATAGTTCGTTACATAAATATTCACGAAATGAGGTGTAAAGTTCATTCTGCTTTTAAAAATGATAAAGTTGAAATACCAATAAGTATATTCAATCACTTTGAAGAACTGCTTCACGTAAACGTTTCCTGTTAAAATAATCGCTGTTTACTTGGATAGGCCATAAATAAACAACATTCAACAACGTTAACAAAAAAATCGGTCCTAACCAGATCTCGTATTATCAATTATTCTAGATATGTCCAGAAACAAAACGAAATTATTTGCCAACTTAATTGCAGTCATTATTTACTCGATGTGATCTTCCCAAATATTTAAACCGTACTGACCATGAGATAGACGAAATGTTGTTATCTCCTTTTTTGTGTAAATTGTCAAAACTGATTCGTTAATTCCTTCCGGGATATATAACATATTCTCCAATGTTCTAGGAATCGTGATCCCCAATACAGTCACCTAGTTTGAAATTTCAATTGATACTTTTTAGATTTTTTCTTGACTTATGAAATATGCCTCCATTATCACAGCTTTTAAAATTCTGGCGAAATTTCAAACCCGCTAATTATGCTGCTATTTTTTTCGATTATTAGCAAATTATTCGTGGCTCTCATTACCTCAAATATTGCAGTTCATCTCGAACTGCTAAACGAAATCGTTTATTGCCGAAATCTTCCTACTGCCGATTCGTCAACCGAATGAATATGCCCTGCTACGTCTAGTCAAAAACTTTCGATGTGTTTCACAGCTGAGAATCGTACGCAAACATGGAATGGTATACCTGATCATTTTCCTACTACGAGCATAACGTTAAGACCATTCTGAATATCTGGAAAACTATGTGTCTGAAATTTTGTAAATGAGCACAACAAATCTAGGATTTTATCCACCAATCGACGTCGAATGCCATTGGGGCGCAAGACCATTTTGTACACTGGGATTTAACTGACAAACGAGTAGAAATATATAAATATCAAAAATAGACAGAAAATAAGTTGACAGATACTTTTTCTCCCATTTTTCGACGCTTTATAGCAAGTTGGTGGTAGAGTTCAGAGGACATGTGTGAAATTATATTTATACTATATTGTGATTTAGTACATTGTCGGTCACCATAAAAGAATCGGAAACAATATGGAAAATAAATACCGTTTTTCTCCGAAAATAAGACAATGTCTTATTTCAATTTTCTCTCAAAAAATAACACTATAGGGCTTATTTTCAGGGGATGTCTTTTATTTTCTTTTATATGATTACGAGATTTTCAAACATGAAAAACGATATCCATTTATTTATAATTAACAAGTTTTCATTTAAAATAACTGCTAAACATAGATTAATAATTCTTTAAAACGAGTAGGAAAGATTTCTTGCTATCGACCAGGCCAAAAAAAAAATATTTGCGCTATCGACTAGGTCTTATTTTAAGGGGAGGGCTTATATTGAAATCTTTTTTGAAATTCGTGCTAGGTCTCATTTTCGGGGAAACACGGTATATTGAATTGCTTTAAATATCGAGTCAATTGCTACCTAGTAGCATAAATCCCATTGGTAAATACCAGTGTTTAGCGCGCCGTAGGGTGTTCTGGTCTCGTACCTTGCATGGAAATAACACCAGATGTTTTTTTACACAATCCGAGACCGGAGACTTATCTATCGACAGTCAGGGGATCCCCCGAAACAGAAACTGCCGTTTCGATTTACCCGCTCTTACTTCATAACGACACCGTGTGTATTCAAATACAGCCTAGCGATATTTTGGTGCGGAATTCTGCAACCCCGAACCTGATGATAGAGGGACATGGACATTGCTTAAAGAGTAATTATAAGTAACGAGATACGATCTCGCGGCGTGTATCCTTCGCTCTGACTCAATAGCGTGGAAATTTTTCAAAGGAAACTTGCGCATCGCGACCATGTCAAATGGACAATAACACGTTCTCGCGGCGTGTATCCTTCGCTCTGACTCAATAGCGTGGAAAATTTCTCGAAGGAAACTTGCGCATCGCGACGACGTCAAAGTTACAAGAGGGATATGAACAATGCTTAAAGATTAATCACGAGATACGATCCAGCGGTGTGTATCCTTCGCTTTGACCATTAATGTTTAATGTCATTGCTATGACACACTGGCGTGAAAACTTGCGCATCGCACACACCACCGAAAATCCAGATCTTTTCATCACTAATTAATTAATAACTCGCTAATTATACGACATAATTCATCCAAAATCAATAGGCTTCTGATCCGAGCTATGATGAATGCACATGCAAAATTCAGAGCAGAAAGACAGACAAATACCTATCAACATACTTACCAATCTTAAGATCGATAAGTAATAAGTCGAAACGTATGAAATTGAATTAAATGTAATAAGGCGCGGCGGTGTGGCTCAACGGGCTAAGCGTTAGGAATACGCTCGCCACCGCACCTCTAATTACTCTGCGTGGGTTCGCAGGTTCGAATCCCATGCAGGGATGGTTATGTGCGAGAGGATTGCTGGACTCCTCGCCGTCGTTGGGTGGTTCACGTAACCGCTGGTCGGTTACGGCTTCCTCTACCACCAAGTCCATGCCTCCGAAAACAAACAATATAACTAATCCCATACCCGACTTGGAATTGTAACCGAACGAGAGGCCGTGGTTCGCCATATGGATAAGCCGTCTTATCGGCTTTCCTCTCCCCCGGGATAAAATTTGTAAATCCTGTAAATCCTATCCTAATAGTATTGCCCAAAAATAGTGCATTTACTCTTCTAAATATTTTACCTCGGTGCAATAAAGTTTCAAAATTCTGAACATAAAATATATCAAGACACAATCGAGCAAACCTATTAGATATTCCGATATATAACATAGACCGCTGGTCGGGTAATAATAAAGCCTCCTCACTCCACGGAAATAATATTGAAACATCCTATCTATTGGAAAACTCATACTGTACACTCTTGGAAGTGCATTTTTTCAATTTTATGGTTATAGTGAAAAATCGTTTGCGAAAATTAACCTATAGATTTCAAATTTCCGCTCTTTGTAAAAGCTAGCTCTCGATAAAATAGGAATACGTAATTGTACCTTTGTTTGGTTTTGTCTTGTTTTTTAGCTGTGTTTGACTCCGAAAATCCGACTGAATCAAACTACTCGGAAATTTTCGGAATGTCTCGGAAATATTTACATTGTGTGTTGCCAGGCGCAACATCTCCTCACGTGCCAGTTTGAATATTATACCAAGGCAGTTTTTAATACGTTTGAAAATAAAATTCGGTTAATATGGCTGACAGGGAGGACCAAGTATTTGGTGCAAAGTTGGCGGAACAGGCAGAGCGCTACGACGAAATGGTGAACTACATGGACAGGGTTTCTAAGATGGGAGATGAATTAAGCGCAGATGAGCGAAATTTACTTTCAGTTGCTTACAAAAATGTGATAGGCGCCCGTCGCGCATCATGGAGAATTTTAAATAGCATAGAATCCAGAAACAGTGGTGATGACAACAAGCATGAAGCTATACTTAAAGCATACAAAGGTCAAGTTGAAAAGGAATTGAAAGAACGTTGTGAGAATATAATAGCTCTCTTGGACGATCATCTCATTGTAAATGTAACTAATACAGAAGCAAAGGTGTTCTACTACAAAATGAAAGGTGATTATTATCGATATCTTGCCGAATTTCAATGTGAAGGAGCCAGAAAAGAAGCCGCAGAAAATAGTTTGCAAGCTTATAAGCTTGCAAGTGATGCTAGTCGTGATCTCGCCTCAACTCATCCAGTAAAACTCGGACTTGCACTTAACTTTTCAGTATTTTATTATGAAATACTCAATTCTCCTGAAAGGGCATGTAGGTTAGCAAAAGCTGCCTTCGATGAAGCACTCAATGACTTGGATTCGAAACTAAACGATGAAAACTCTACTCCTAAAGATTCAACCCTGATACTGCAGTTGCTTCGTGATAATCTTACTTTATGGACACCAGATTTGAGTACACAAGATGACAATGATGATGATGATGATAAAGCTGATGAAGCATTGCAAGATGTTGATAGTAATGATGGAAACTAAAGTATTTCAGTCGCGAATGGTTTTATTGAATCGTGAAATTTTGCAAACAAGACTGTTGATAGGTTGAATCATGAGCTGTTTGTGAAAACTTTTGTACTAAGCACAATATTTGACTATCATCTGGTGAATACTAAATGGAAATTTGTATTTTACTTGTGACGTCTTACTTATTTTTTCCTTCTCCATTTGGCGGTGTATTAACTGCTAGGGGTAATAAACAAATTGCACAACATTTCTATGCCAAATCGAAACATAGTATTATATTGCCAAATATAAAAAAAAATATATAAGGGGAATAATTATGCGATTTACAGTGCGAACCTTAAAAATGTTTTTTTCTTTAAATTTTGCTGTGGGTAGTTTTTTATGAATTTTTCATCTCTTGTTTTACACTTTTCTTGCTTATGATTAGAATATGTTAAGCAGAACTAAAAACTGTATGTATTACCCTTTCCACCAATCTGATTCTTTTTTTAAAAAGGTTTGATCTGACTGAAGTTTCACAGTCCTTTCAAAGTTATTAAATCACAATTTCTGGGATAAATGAATATTATGGTCACATGCATATAATGTGATTCATGTTTTGTTGGAAATTTATTACTTTCAATTTATATATATATAGGTTATGATATTGGGTAAACTTGTGCTGAAATATAACATTGATGATTTGATAATTATGATATGAATGGTAGAGCTTGGCAGATTTTTAGTGGGATTTTGTCTCTGTTTATTAGTCAAAATGGTGAAAGCACATATCACTAACAAAACATATTTGTGCTGTTTTTTAAGTGAATGAACTTGTTTGAAATTAGGTTTCAACTCCTAACAATATATGCTCTTCCCAGCGCTTGTTAATTGAAAATGTAAGAAGTTCCACTCTGTTTTTTGATATTGCAGTTTCATTAAATAGATATGTAGTAATTTTAAGTCCATGAATATGCTTTTATTCCAACTCTCTGTTCAGTAGATGTAAAAAATACACAATTTGAAACTGAGGTTCAAAATGTTACCTATGCTTCATTCACTATTTAATAGATAGACCTACCAAATTGTTTTTACTGTTTTTGAAATGAGTATTTTTGCTACAAGTGGTGCTAAAAGTATTTCTGTAGTAATGCTTACTTGCTCTTTCATATTTATATTCAAAACAAAGATCGTACTTGATGTTTATGATTACTTGATAATAATATGTTATCTCTGCATAATATAATAAATAGTATCAGCAGTTATATATTTATATCGCTATTCGTTGTGGGAAATATGACTGAGGGCAGAGATAAACTCGAAGAAATACTGAAGTCATTGTCAATCACAACAACTGTATTTGAACACCCTGAGGTACATAATCGCAAAAATTCTTGATATAATTCTGAAGAATCTCTCAAGACGCTACTCTATAATAAAGAGGTTCTCATATTCAGATATTTAAGATCTAGCATTCGGATATTATTTTCATATTTACTCGACAGAGGAGAGCTGATAAGACAAGCATATTGCATACCACCAAAGTTACCAGTCCATGTCAGGTATGGGATTAGTTATCCAGTTATTTATGGTGGGTATTGGCTTGGTGGCAATTGATTTTGAATGTTGTAAATGGATATAAATTGTTAAAATATATTCCTTATGATAAACACGGTCTAATAATAGATTGAATACGCCTAAAAACTGAAGCTTAATAGAATGATAAACTTTGCATATTGCATGCATATTTTATATGTGTCTCTTACTTGCAATCATGGCCATGAGGCTTTAACATCAAATTTGAAATGACTTCTAAATTGTGGAAACTGATAACAGGTCTTCACAGTTGAAGCTATGATGCCACATCTTCAAGATTGCAAAGGGCTGATTGTGAAAAATTTATTCCTGAAGGGGAAGAAAAAGAAAGATCTTTGGCTGATAACTGTTGGTCATGACAAGGAAATTAATCTGGCCCAACTGGGGAAAGACCTTTCAGTTCCTGGTGGGTTCAGGTTTGCAGATGAGGCCATTCTGGAGGAAAAACTTGGCGTAAAACAAGGTTGTGTCACGCCTTTAGCCTTGATGAATGACAAAAACCATGATGTTAAACTTGTGCTTGATGAGGATATTCAACATCTCTCAGAAGGTGAACTTATATATTCACATCCCATAGTCAATTCCGCTACCATGGGAATGTCATACCCAGATTTTTCCAAGTTCCTTGAACACACTGGTCACAAGCCAAATTTTATTGAACTCTCAAAAGCAGGGGCTAAATAATCAACGAAAGGAAGAAACGCAATTGAACTAAATGTAACATATTATTGTATCAAGGCCTTGTAGGGAATCGCTTTTGATTGGTACTGGGTATTTCGTACAGTCCCAATGGCAAGATATGGCCGAGCCTGTCTGGTGATCTTAATTTGTCTGCCCTAATTTTGCTTGAGAGTTTATTGAACATATCGTGAACGGCGCTTGCCTAAAATATCCCTAAAAGCGATTCATATGTTGTCAGAGTAGAGGTTAGTGTTGAAGATTTTCAATTATTCTGACACTGCACATTTCAGAAAGTGAGATTTGGCCGTTGTCCAACTGAGCGCCCATGTCCACCGCTTTGTCTTGTGTAAAACATGTAGCGATGATTAGGGAATAAAATTGAAAAGACAGATTTATTAATATGGCCAATCCCTTCTGCATATTCGTGTATGTACTGCAATCCCTGATTAGAAAGGTTTGAATAAAATTTGCACCAGGTAAAGTCTTTTTCGTTATTGAAGTGAGTGTGCCACACTTTTCTGGCAATTTGGATAAATTGCGAACTCCTTGGCTTGTCGGAGTTTAAAAAGCGGGCACCCGACAAAATTCGTTTAAGTACTTGACATGAATGGGGCGTCGATACAATACTGACTACATCATGCCTAGGGCTGGGCAAAATATTCGAATAGCAAATCGAATATTAAAATATACGAATGGCAATTTACTACTCGAATGTCCGGTATCACGTGACCTGCGTCGCATTGCTTAGACATGGAACTCGCGCGTCTCTAAATCAATGGGAATTGCGCAAAGATTTCACCCACGGCAATCGCTAACAGACAAAAGCGACAAATTTGAAGAAGTCTTTGTGGTAAGGTATTATTTGCTCTTTTTTTTGCACCTAACGTATCGTTTAAATTCTCTATTTTGCGAAAAACGTACCGACCGTTCCGTAAATTTTGAAACGTCAAACCAGATTACGCATTTATCTATAAGAAATTTTCTAGGATTTAAATTCAGTATGCCTGGCGACATGTTATTAGCCATTTTTTGCATTATCCGAACATAAAATTGATTAAAATAAAAAGTTAAAATAATATTTTCAAGAAACCATACATTGCGAAAAGGGCGTTTCTGGTTCCGCAGAAAATTTGAGTTATATAAATAGCTGGCATGAGTTACTAGTATGAAAAACACTTATTAAGTGAAACCTGATGAAAAATGACAGGCCATAGTTGTTACACCCTTCAATCCCTAGTTCTTTATAGGCCGCGAGACGAGGCTACAGCGAAATTGCTTCTGACATTTTAAGTTATCGTAACTCCCACTTTGTATTTATCGAAAAGTTTAATATATTCTGTTGGCTTTCCAAATATTATTTTGAAAATTTAACTTATTTCATGTCTTACTGCATTAGTTTCTTCGTTCAGAAATGATGTTCAAACTTTTCCTCAAATGCAGAATTTTTCGCTACAGCGGAATTGCTTTTGTTGCTTTCAATTATCGATCTTTCTACTTTGGATTTATCGATAAGTTTAATATGTTCTGGTGGCTTTTCAAATATTATTTTGAAAATGCAACTTATTCTATGTCTTACTGCATTAGATTCTACATTCAAAAATGATTTTCAAACTTTTCTTTCAAGGGTCAGAACCTTTATTCAAAAAATCAAATATTTCGCTGCATTTCCAACATTGAAAACAATCAACAGCCAAATCATCTGAAGACAGTATATAAAACAGTATTCCCTAAACTATGCATTGCGCACATTGAAAAATATCCAAATAAATTAATCAAGGGATGTGCAAGGATGTCCAGCATGAGATAATAATACCAAATATTCAATAACGACGTCCCAAATTGTTGAGACAGCTAGCATGTATATTTTATCAATGCAAAAACAAATCCATCACCCAAATATTGTTCAAGTGCCAAGTCATGGTGAAAGTCGAGTCGTCTATTTCGTAGAACTCCCCAAACTTTTTACAGTGAATAAATTTACAAAAGAATATTTCTAATAAATCGTTAAAGATTTTTTTATGGAGAAAGGTTGCAAATTAAAAGGGTTGGAACAGATGGATGACATTGGAACAATATCTAGGGCTCGGAATCAATAACCGGTTAACCGGCTTCGGATGATTAACTTTACTGTTAACTGGCATCTCAGGTAATAGTTACCTTTATACAGTACGATTATTGGTACAAACTATTGGTATCGTTAATAATGAAAATTAGATAATAAAAAATTCAGAATCAGTTTCTTGTCAGAATATGTCGTTCATGATTTTATTACAAGAGCGCTATTTAATGTCATTCAACAAGAGCGTATTCTGTCGCAGGGATATTATCATATCGATATTTTAGATGAGGAGAAGTAGCGAACGCGGGTATACACAATTTTTTTATACGCCAGTCCCGCAATAGGTATATATATATATATATATGTTTAAATTTGGATTCATTACTTCTTCACCGCTCCAGAACTACGAGAATGCTCTGGAATCACTGTTATGTAACAATCCTAAATTTCACCCTTTTACGACAAACTGTGGTTAGCCGGTGAATTTTACCCGGTTAACGGTTAAAGTGTGTTCACTGAATTTTTCAGCCCTGAAATGATCGCTTACCGCAGGCATGTTTGAAATCCATTAAACATTATTGATATCTGTATTTAATATCTTTTCAGAGTATGTAAGGAAATCTGAACTCAACAAGTGTAATCAATAAAGAATGTTAACATATATTTATGCAAGAGTGCGCAGCAGTCGGTAGTCACATATTTTAAAATAGATGTGGAAAAGCATAATAAACTATATAGGTAACTAAAATTACTCATTGCCTACATTTTTGCTTCAAACAACGAAACTCCCTGGTCCGTGTATTACGAAACTTCCTGTGGGCTCTATGGAATTCGTTTTTCTTCCTAAAGTTTTGTTTGGTGACGTCAACAAAATGGAATGCCAGAGAGATGTGCCTAAAAATATGGATACGGAAGCTAAAACAAAATATTTCACCTTCAATTCACCTAAAATCAAACAGTATCCTGAACGAAGCTGGAATTGTGAAACAGCTACGGCTGTAGCGAGTACATAAGGATAGTTACTGTGTGTTTCAAAATTCTTTACCACGTATTTTTAATAGTGCATGTTTCCTGAAACAAGGTCGTTGCTCTAATTCATTTTCTTTATGATATTTTTCCTTCGCTCAGTATTGCTCGTCTTTATCTTTCTTCGTTAGTTAGAAATTTGGTTTTATTACATATACTTGTATATATTAATGTTTTAAGTGTATTTCGTTATCAGTGATTTGGATCAATTCGATTGTGACACTTTACAATGTAAGAACATTTGGCATTCAATACATCTTGTGCTTTTTGACCTCTGAAGGAGCCAGATCGGGGTTACTCTCCATAACGTGTGTCAATCCAATAGCACGGGAGTGCGGATACGCAGATAGGGCAAATGTCTCTCTATAGCAGGGATGGCGAACCACTGACCCGCGGGTCACAAAGTGACCCACCGCGTTTTATTCGTGACCCGCCAAGGCACGAATAAAATAAGAAAATTGCTAACATATCAGTGATAAAAAATGATAGAACCGGCCTTAAATTAATCTAACAATACCTAAACTATTAGAATGTACCGTCAGTTGGGCAGTCAGGGCTGCGATCGCTTATATTCAAATTGTAAATTTCCGGTATGGTAATATTCAAAACCCCTGATCTTGGATGCATGTCTGCACCGTTGTGTGCCGGTATTTAGCTATTGGCTCTGACATCGTTTATGACATAACAATCCAATTGATGTTCATTTCTCGCAACGTCTTGTCTCTTTAAGAAGTGCATCTGCAGACTGTTTTAGGGGTTGTACGAGAACTAGATGCCACTTGGCATTTTATTGGTTTCTCGCCTACAATGCCGTTGAGAATACAAAATCTTTCAGACTTGAAATAAAAACCTAGAAATCTGGAACAACAATGGGGCAGTGTGAAAGTGCTTTTAATATGGTTAAAGCTGATCTAAAAAATATAGCACTATCAGAGTGGAATTCTCTTCAAACTCTTTGGAACCGTAAAATAATTTGCATCATCCTAAACGTAATTCATATGTGTGTTTTCGAACCCTTAATCGAGTGCCATAAAAAGTTCCTGATAACGTGCTGTAAAGTAAAGCACTAAACTACACCAACATTAACAGAACCGTTGTATTAGGATTTGTTTCAGAAGTTTCTTATAGATACAAACATTGATTAAATATCTGTGACCCACTCTCTTCTGTTCCGCGATAAAAATATGATTTTTGACCCATTCATTGAAAAAGGTTCGCCATTCCTGCTCTATAGTATACGGTAACTTACCAGTACCTGTTGGGGTACCCAGACTGCCGTAGCTTTCCCAGATCTTCTGAAGATGGCCCATGCTTCACGATTCAGTTTGAACGTGAATTGAAATACTTATCCGAGTAACGTATGTATTATGAGATCCGGGATCGCAGTCTACTGTTCCAAGCGAGCGATGCTCAAATATATGGACACGAAAGCCAATTTTTTTAAATGTAAAAAAATTGTATTTTTCTTTATACCGTTTTTAGTTGTAGACAAAATTGTTTCCGATGTTGGGAATGCCACACAAAAATGAAATAAAAGGGTATTTGGAAAAAACGGTTTTAGCCATCGTAGAAAATTAACTTTTTTATGTATCTGGGTAGGAATGTTTCAATCTTGAATTTAGCATCTCATAAAGTATAACACAGTATCCAGATAAAACATTAACTCTATGATGGATAAATGTATTGTTTTTATATCTGTATACATATTTCTAAAACAATAACTGTTTATTGAATGCATAAAATTTAAACTATTAATATCTTCTTCTGTGTGAATCAAAAACATAGGCGTTTCATAATAGTTGAAATTGATAATGTTACTTGTGATTAATAAAATTTACCGACATGCTGGAGCGAGCGTGTAGAAGGGTAAAGTTTTATCTTTTCCCATCCATTCTTCCACTTGGCGAAAGTATTGTGGACATAGAGTGCATCGTCAGCAGTCGACTTTAAACTCCCTTTGAACACTTGTACCCCTCTTCCTATCAATATGCAAGAAAATTTAGCTGGAAATATGCTGAGTTGATTTGTGCTATTGTAATTCGAAGCAGTAATTCAAGAGACGACAGAGTCTCGTCGGGGACTATAAAATATCAAATTTTGTATTTACTTCATTTACCGAATGCAACATATTTAGATAT